GGCCAGCACCCGGCGCAGTCGCCGGCACACGCACTCCAGCACCTCCTTCGCGCCCCCAGGGCACTCCCTCCCCTGTCACCGTTTGCGGTCCTCCCCGGGTGGCATCCGCTCCCTCCCCCCCCCCCCCCCCCCGGCGCCCGCCATCGGTCGCCGGCACGCACTCAGCCTGTGACTTCGAGCGCATCCTCGAGACCACCCTGTCCGGCGGCCGGCCGGACCTGGCCCAGATCAGCCTGCCCCCGGCCGCGGCCGGGTGCCTGCTGGACATGCTGCCGATGGCCTGGGACGCGGACCCGCATGCGCGCCCGGTGGCCGCGGCCTTCCGGCAAAAGTGCTCCATGGCCTTTGTCTCGTGCTGACGGCCCGAGCCCCTGCGCGGCCGGGGGGCGCGCTCGCACCGGCGCCGGTCCCGGGCGCCTTGCAATAAGAAAAAAACACCCCCCGTCCTCCATTGTTCTGCCTTGGTTGGGCTGCAGGGCCGGCACTTGGCCAGCACCCCGGGGACCCGGCGGGCCGGGGAGGACGCGCCCTCCCACCGGGGCGCCCGTGGCCGACGGAAAAGCGCGCCTCTTTGAGGCCGGTCTGGGCCCACACCGACAGTCCGAATGATGTAGATGGTTATCATATCTGTCTAACACACAGAATGTCCCAGGTTCGAGTCCTGGTTCGGACAGTCCCGCCTTTTTGGCGGCCGCGCCTCCGAGAGGCGAGGTGCTCGGTGATGGTGTCTCTCCTGGGCCGGGGCCGGGGGGGCGGGGGGAGGAGAACAGCCAGGGGGGGATATCCCGCCGGGCGAGGGGCGGCCCGGCCTCCTCTCGCCAGCCGGCGGGGCCGTGTGTGTGTGTGGGGGGGGGGGGACCGTGCATCGCCATTTTTGGGGGCCGGGCGGCCGGGGTTTCTTCGCGTGTCTCGCGGAGCACACAGCCGCACCGGCGGCCAGCGCTCCTGGCGCACGCATGCGACGCCGGCCGAGGCCCGGGCGCGTGGGCGAGACTCGAGGAACGGCCCAGGCGTCGGTGTCGATGGCCGGGCAGCGAAGCTAGAAGAACGCTCGGCGCCGGGTCCCGTCCACCGAAGCGCGTCGATGGTTTAGTGGTAGAATTGCCGCCTGCCACGCGGTAGACCCGGGTTCGATTCCCGGTCGACGCACTCCCCCGCTCGTTTAGCTCAGTGGTAGAGCGCCAGTCTAGTAAACTGGAGGTCGGGTGTTCGATCCACCCAATGAGCATTCCTTTCTTTTGCACCCCCGCCGCGCCGCCCCCCAGGTCCAAGGCCACCCGCGCGCGCGCGCGCGCGCGCGCGCGGCCAGCCGGCCGGCGTGTGTATTCCCCGGGCCGGGGGGGCTCAGGCGGCCGGCAAGCGGACGGGCGCCTGCCCACGGACCGGGCGGCGCGCCGGAGACGTGCCCGGCTGTCTTGCCCCCGGCGCGCGTTCCTCCCCCCCCCCTGCCCGGGCCCGGTTCCCGGGGGGGGGGGGCCGGTGGGCGGCGCCCGATCGGCCCCTTTTTCGGCCACGGCCCGCGGCCGGCCAAGCCACCGGCTGGCCCGGGCACCACCCCTCGCCCGCCGCCCCGCCCCTTTTCCCCCC